CTGTCAACAATGGTGCCTCTGACTGACGATGCCCATTACAATGATTGGGAAACGTTAGGGAATGTACCTTATTTATGATCCCGTGCTTGAAATCTCGAATACTATGCTAGTAGAAACAGGACTAGATATGTTCCACAAGGTCCTCCTGTCTCTCCGACTAAGTTGGGAAGAATAAGTTAAAGCAATACTACTGCGCCCAAACCTAGGGCCATACCATCTCGTCCTCATCCTTACGATTGTAATATTAAAACTTCGGTTTGTTCATCTGCAGCCCCACTTTAAAAATGTGATATGAGGAGCCTGGCCTTTCCTAAAATTTACGTATACTTTGACCTAAGAACTTTCGTGGTATGCTGGCAACGTGTCGAGACGATAATTTATACTAACCGGGTCTGATTTCTGCTGGGGTGCTGATGCGACTTTTATGAGGTCGAACCTGCACTTCAGTCTAGCATTAATGAGAATGCCTTGTTTGGGAGGCAATGCAAAGTTGCGGGAAAAATTGGTCCTTCATCACATACGACCAAAGTTGACTTGAAGATTTTCTGATAGTCCCGAAAACCTTCCTTTGATGCGATAAGGTTTACAACTTTTAAGTGTCAAGGGCCATGATACTGACTTTGCCCTGTTATATTTAATGCATTGTTTGGCATGCTTTATAGTATAATTTCATCATATGTTTGCATATCAAGATGTTACAGTTTTATTATTTCTTCACTTGTATTCATTCCCAGCTCTTATCTGGTCTTCCATTTTATGTCTTGCTCAGTACAAATAGCCTTGACAACCAATGTTATTAGAAGGCTCGATCCTCCCCAAACTCATGCTTATCAAGAATGAACTGGTGTTTCTACCTTGCCTAGCTTTTGTTGATTACATTCATTTAGCTTATCTACCTAGTCTTATTCATCAAATGTCAGCATATTGCCTCTCTCACAAACTGTCTTAACGTCTTAAATACTAACATTTTTGTATATAAAATACTTGGACGTCTGTCTGAGCTACAAGGGACATGAATTTCAAGTTAAAACAGGCTCGTATTGTATCATAATTGTAGTGTGGATTACTAGCCAACAGATTTCCTATGATTGAAACTATGAAAATAATGCTTGATGCCTGCCCATGTTAATTTAGACGAATTCTGGCTTGGGAAAAAATACAATAAAAATTAGTGTTTTTATTATTTGTCTCGATGTAATGACCGTTATTCGTCTTGACTAAAAATAGATAACTTACTGACTTGATATTGGTATCGCGGCTTTGAGCTAAATGTTTTTGTCAAATGAAATCACATTAGCAGAGTCAACGTGATGATCGTTTCTTGTTGATCGCAAGTAGTAGTATACTAGCTTTATGATTAATATTTATATACTGAGCTGAACCTATAAATTAAAAGACTGCTCACTACTCCCTATCCATTAACAGGGTATGCTTTTTCTCTCTTAGCCGTATGTGACCCCACTCCGACTACCCAGATCCTTTCTAAAAAGGAAAGTTTTTCTTTCCAATGCCATTGACCAGACGGGGATTAATTTATCTCATTCAATGACTCCCATTCCTTTCGGAAATCAGGCTATTGTCAAGCGATGAATATCGTCACCAGTGTCCTCCTACTATACTGCACCGAGGAACAAGCCTTCTGGCTATTGACAGCCATCTGCGAGCGTCTTCTTCTTGACTACTATGACAGCCGAGTTATCGGCATTCGTGTGGACCAGGGAGTGCTCTGCGATTTGGTTCAGGAGCATCTGCCGCACCTTTTGCGCGCTGGCCTCAGCGGGCCTGCAACAGGACCGACTACTGGATCTGGAAACGAGCATCATTCATATGACTCTGCTCGCCTACATAGTCAACCTCAGTCTCCGTCACACTTCCAACAGACGGCCAAGCATCAGCCCGACTCTGTGTTGGCTACTACAACGCCTTCACCCGAAGATGTCGGCTTCATCACGGGTGGTGGTGGATTTGATCCTATTATCAGCTACAAAGCATTCGTCAACAGTCAGAACAAAAACCGGCATTTAAAAGGCAACGGGGCTACTTGCAATGATCGACGTGGTCAGGTTGCTGAGAATGAAGCTTTTAATCACAAAACTCAATGTAGACAACCCCTCAAGCAGCGGCCACAACAGCAGCAATCGAAGCGCAACAGCAAACGAGTGAGTCCCTTTAGGTCTATTGCTATAGCTCTAATGATTTAATATTGACAACATTTGTAGGCTTAGTTGAGTCCATTCTCGGCAAATGATCAGACGCTTCTACGGACAAGCTTTGCTCTCCACTAATCATGTTTTGCTAAAAAAAACATGCAATAGTTTTGTGCCTCAATTTAGGCCTATAACTTACTGGTTAGTTGTGAATAAAGTGAATTTATTAACATTTTCACTCTCACTACTAGTCTTTATCAACAAAAGCATTACCACCATTACTTGTGCAACTAATTATATCTCACATCTTTCTATGCCAAAACTATCAATCGGTTTGAAACCAGTCTTTACTTGAACCTATTTGTAGATTTCACTGTCAAACCTGCCAGTTCCATTATCGACAGCTCAACCTTATATATATATATATATATAACCAAATTTAGGAAGAACATGCACTTGCTTAATTATTACTTATGTGTATGTATGGCTGCACGGCAATGGGTGTCTGGATAATTTTATTAAATTACTTAATATAATATATGGGAAGATTGATTCCACCCTTTTTAGAGTATTCTTGTTAGTAAAGAGGGCATCAAATTGGTTTCCTATTGAGAATTTCCTAATCATACCTATGAAGTTATTGTAAGAATAATAGAATAAATTATAGAAGTCTCTGTTTTGCATATTTTAATTATATTGACCAGGAAACGTAATCTGAAAACGTTACTCACATTGATTAGATTTCAAAACTACCCGTAGATCATGAATAAGAGCTGTTTTCATTCAAGGTCACGAGGTGATGAAGGACTCAGTTCATTTTTCCCACAATGACGTGAATACGTCTCATAATGCCGTTTGATTTAATTAAGTCTTGCCTCCCTAACGTTATTCTCATCCAGAGTGGACTTCAGTTTCCACCTCGCCTTGGTTTAATTAGCACCTTCAAGGGAAATCAAACCCGGCTGGTGAAGCGTTTATTTCGGCATGTTACCACCGTACCATACGGTCATACAGATCTTATTTAGATCAACTGGTAGATTTGAAACCTACGCAATCTAAATTCATGTCGCTTATTAGATTGTAATGGCAAATATATATTTTTGTTTCTTCTAAAATTACACTAAAATGTGATGCTGAAAAGTTGGTAGAGACTAATTACCTTTTAGAATTAATTGAAAATTATTTAAGAATGCTAGGAAATGCTATTATGGGTGGAATCTTTCTAGATCAATCCGGGCGTCTAGACTACTCCAATAGAGTCCTCTTGTTAGTTTCCTGTCAGCTCCTTAAAAAAATGGATTATGTACTGCGGAATTTAGGAACTATCACGAAATATGTTAATACATTAACATTCTTCTTCCTTTCATTCGATCCAGTCTATTACTAGGTTTTGTGTTCGTGTGAAGAAGGCCCGCAGATAATCTGAGCTTACAACTGGTTTATGGGTTAAAAAAGCAAAATTGGCCGATCACGGTATACTCAGCACACTATAAGGACTAGTATAAATATCAACAATTTGCAATATATGAGGATTTTGCGAGTAAGCGCAAATTCATATCCTTCAGAACTAGACAGAATGGCCAAACCCTGAATTAAGAATAGCAAGTAGGTGTTGGATGGGCTTAGGAAGAGTGAGTGGAAGGTACGGCCGACCCAAAACTAAAGACCTAATCACACAGCACATGCTTACAATTAATCTCGTTAAACTTTCAGTGAAAAGAATTACGCTAGTATGCAGTTCTGTTACGATCGTATCCTTTTCACTCATCATCCACAGCCATTTGATATGACACCTCCATTCACACCAATTATCTGCAAGCGTGTAAGGGAAGCATAAATTACCAGCCAAATTCTGAGAGACTTCATGGAATGGACAAAGCCAAAAACTATGATTGTAGCCGCCCCTTGCCATAGATCTAAGGCAATCTTTCGGCTTTTCATCGGATCAATCTACTAATCCCTTCCACCCGCCTTTCTAAACTAAATAGAAGGTATTAAAACATAAGTTCATTTATTTTTCGAAGGTATGAAGACCAAGATGGTGTGGCCTTTTGTGTGGTCGCAGTCTCCTTTCGTTGTATA